GTCATCATAAAATTCTTTTTCTAATAATAATTAATTAATAATATACATGAAATTTGGCCCTGCAAGGAAAGCACCATTTGCTTTCTTGTTTGACCTCCTTTGATGGCAAATCTCTGATTACATTCCTCTCATCATGCCACATCGAAAACATCATAACACAATATACTGCCGTAATTGAGAAACAACAAAATACCTCATTTTATTTGGTAGTCAAATTCTCTAAAAAAAATTTTAATGGCTTGTGATGGCGGGAAATAATTTTAATGATGATGAAAATTTAAGCAATTGTTGTCAATAATCTCCTCCTCCATATTACATAAACATTCGGACCACTTATTTTAATATTAGTAGATAATATGTATTCAGTTGTTTTGCTAAAATTACTTTAACTAAACTGCAAAAGACGAAAACGACAAGGGAAGTCATCAAAATTACACTTGGAGGAGGGGTGTTTTGAAAATTGGGTATCTTTTAATACGTCGGACATGAGGGTGGTTGAGAAAAATTAAAAAAGGAAATAATTAATATTAATAAATAATATAATTACAAAATTAAAATAATTCTTAAATTAATTAAATAATTAATAATACTACTAATTCAAAGTCATGTTTATTATTTGGAAATAGCATGAAATGTGAAAACGTTCAGGAAATTGATTGTTTGTTCAGGTAGATTTTTCGATGAAATGACCGAAATTATGGTTGTTGCTCCCAAAACAGCATCTTGATGGTTGTGAGATTGTTGAAAGCAAGAAAAGTAGTAATTTCAAGAACATCTTGTTGGAGGTGAACAACAGTTGGCTGCATGGAAGATTTACCACCCGAGTATGTTTTCTCTACCAGCACTTAGGCAAACCACCAAACACATCACCATTGGATGTAATTGTAGGTGGAGAACCTACCCTCAACTTTAACCTTTTGGTACTTGTGGAATTTGGTAGGAAATGTCGACTTGGCTTGAAAACTGGCGAAGAAGAAACAGAATGATGAGAAGAAATCCACCTGAAGGATGGAGTACTTATTACATGAGTGCAGATAAATAATAAAAGATGGTGAATGTTGGTGTGGAGTGCTTTGATGAATTTTTTCTCATCAAAATATTTATTGATGTAACGGGTTTTGGTGGTGGGAGATTTTACAATGAAAATTCATTCCTGCAACAGGAATTGAACAGGGAAATAACATTGAGGGGAGAGGGTGGTAAAAACACGGGGTGTGTAATTTTGATGACTTCCCCAACAATTGGACCAAACCTATGATGGTAACATTGATCAATTCGTTTTGGCTTTGAAACAACAATGGAATGTTGCATATCAAAGATTTCAAGTCCAATAATAATTCTAGCTAATATGAATTTAATTGAAATTTATTCATGAAACGTTATCTATTGTTTAATTCTATGGAATTCGATGTCGAGTTCAACTGGTCTTCCTCTTGAGAAATAATCTCTTCCTTTAGGATTTCTGCTTGCCTTAGTTGAGTTGTTTGATTTTGGTGATGATTTCGAGGAGACAACTTTTGGTTGTTCGGCTGGAATCAAACTGAGCAAATCAGAATAGTCAACCTCTTCGTTCTTCTTGATAGATTCAACTAAAGTCTTACACAAATCACCATAATTTTTACAGACCCAAGTGACAATTCCCTTATTTCCTTGAGTATAGGATGTTGATGGGATTTGTAACATGACACGTTTACGGATTTGAAGAATATCAGGATACAAGTGTCTCAAATATCTGAGTGGAACCTTACTATAAATTTGCTTTGGAATTTGCTTTTCTAAAACTTCAGAAGACCAAACCTTGACAGATGCATTGCTTGGTATTTCAGTTTCAGTTGACTTTTGATAACGATCTGGTAATTTTCCAAGGAATTTAATGAAATCAGCAGGTGGGAGAAGCAAAATTTCATTTGGAATCTTTGCTCTATCTTCACTCTTAATCTCAAAGTATTCCTTTGGAAGTCTTCTCAACTTTTCAAGTCCTAGATCCTTAATAGCTGCAGCTGGAACCTTTTGCTTCAAGAATGCAGTTGACCAGACAACATCTCTTTGACTGGTGACTGGACTTCTCAAAGTTTGCTTGCTTGGTTTTGGTGGAGCACCTCCAGAAACTGCAATCTTTTCAGCATTTGGACCAAACATGGATTGATAGGAAGTGGCCTTCTTTGACAATGCACTACCAACCTTCTTTCTCAATTTACTTGGACCTTCAGTAGCAACATTCTTAGTACTTGGGGCACCTTCAGTATTGTATCCTTGTGGATTCTGTTCTGGAGCACTACTATCGGTAGAAGCAGCAGCTTCTGGTTGTTCTGAATCACGTTTGTTAGTAAATTGGAGAGGAGAATCGTTGCTGGATGGCTTATATCCAGTTGAGCTAACACACTTTTCGAATAAGGTCTTGACGTATGGCTTTGTTTGCTTTGAGTAGAAATCCCAATTCTTTGTCCATTTCATGAATGTTGCAGACAAACCTACATCAAACTTCACACCATCTAAACGTTGTTGCAACATGGCACACAAATTACACTTTTCAAAAGCAATACGTGGAATAATTCTGTAAGTAATGGTTGCAGTCAATTTGATTCCAGCTTTGGCAACTGGCACTCCAACTGAGGCAGAACCTGTAAGTTCCAATGAAACGTATGGCTCCAATGAAGAACTGGCTTCCAATTTTGCAAGACAGATACCATATTTCAACTCAACTCCTGTGTTTAAAGCAGTATTAAAATTGAAGGATATTGGGATAGGTCCAGCCATTATTTGGATATTGTAACTGAAAAGCTTTGGGAATCTCTTTTCAAAGATTGGTTTAGTTTCAGAGAAACATGCATCAATGACCTTTCTAATCTTTTCAGGAACAAAGTTACCATTTACAAATGTAGTTTGGAAAACTTTGAGATAAATGTTATCAGTTAATGGTTGTTCACCTCTCTTGGTCAATTCAGCACTACCATCAATGACAACAAATTCCTTACTGAAAAGCTTAGCATTTAACTTGGCTTTAGCCAACAAGAGAATATCAATTCCACTATTTTCAGCACTACATTCGAATGAAGCACCTGCATAGACAAGGAAACCAGTGTAAACATTAATACTTTGACATCCGACTAGGGCTTCGAAACTGAAATGTTTGGCCTTCTTAATTGTACTCATGTCACCTTGTTTTCTAATGAATTCAATGAATGTTGATTCTCTCAAACACATTTCACTGTCAACACTAACTTTGATGCAAGCTTGTTGATTTGCAAAGGTGGCAGGACCGAAATAGCTCTTAATCTTATTGACAACATTCGTTACAGCATTAATAGCTGCTTCAACCTTTTCTTTGACCCAATTGGCTGCTTTAACAACACCCTTAGCAACAGCTTTGGCACCTGTAACAACTGCTCTACCTACAGCTCTGGCAGCTCTTGCAACACCTCTACCAACAACCCTTGCAGCTCTACGGACAGCACCACCAACAGCTCTAGCAGCACTCTTAATTCTGGAACCCAATCTTCTGAAAAATCTTCCAATACCCAAAACTTGAGCTCTTTCCATTTCATCAAAGGCTTCTAAAAGTGTCAAATCTTCATGAGAAAGGAGAGCACGGGATTCAATGCTGGATTGGAATTTCTTGACCTTTTTAGCAAGAGCATTAGAGGTCTTATTCTTGATCTTTAATGCCTTTGAAAGTTGTTCACCTGATTGTTTAGTACCAACAGTGTACAAGTAATTCTTGACAGCAGTTCTAATTTCCTCGCTCTTATTCTTCTTATGGGCCTTAGAAAAGTGGGTAACTGAAGCACCCGATTTGAGATGCTTTTCTCTTTCAGTTTGAGCATTGATGAGAGAGGCCTTAACAACAGAGCTCAAACCCTTAGTAACAACCAATGAATTGATCAAACTATCGACAGCACTTTCATCAGTTTGACGCTTCTTCAAATTGTCAGCAAGTAAAACCTTAATAGTGTCTGGAATTCTCTTATCAGTCAAGAATGATCTGATAATTTCAATATCAACACCTTTACCAGCATTATTCAAAGCATGAATATAAGTTTGGAGTTCATTCAAATTGGTTGAAGCAGAAATCTTGGTAAGAATTTCCTTGACAATATGTTGTTGAACTCTGTTATCTCTAATTCTGTGAGCGAGGTCAGCATAGGCCATGAAGGCGTTCTTCTTGACATCTTCATTCATTTGAGATGAGAATTTGAACTTTTTGTTTCCTCTACGAGAGAATGCGCTAAGGCCCTTTGATTTCAATAGCTTTAAGAAAGAGAAGGCAGACTTTGGTGGAGTTGGAACAACTACGGATGAGTAAATGTAATTTTTAGCCAAATATGGATGCAAAGTAGAGAGTTTGATAAGTTTTTCTTGAATTGGAGTAGATCTAATAGTAGCAACCAAGTTTTGAACGCTTTCCAAATAATTCTTGAGAGAAATCTTTTGCTTTTCTGTCATGTCATTTGAATTGAGTAACTTGTCAACACCCTTCTTCAATTCATTTAACAAAATCTTGGCAGACTTGATTGGATGCAATTTGCTATACTTGGCAAGAGCTGAAAGTAAGGAATTAGCATTTCTTGACAAGGATGGATCTGTCTTGGCAGCATTAAGCAAACGACGGAAGAATTTAGTAGAGAAACGTCTTCTATTGATTTGATTCATAGCTTTCTTATCATACTTGTTAGTCATGAAAGAATTCTCAAATTGGAATTGAGAACCCAACTTGGCATCACGACCATTCTTTTCCAAATTGATAATTACTTGTCCAATTTCTTCTTTCAAATCTTGACTTGTCTTTTCTGCCTTTTTGAGCTTTACAGATCCAACAAATAGAGTTTCCAATTCATTTGACTTGGATTCATTATCAACTAAATCATCCTTCTTAATCTTTGAATGAGCAATTCTTTCAAATTCCTTAAAAGCATAGTGAACTTCCTTTGATGGACCAAAAGTGACCTTCAATCTCAAACCTGCCTTTCTAATCACCTTCTTTTTCAAGGAAACACTAACAAGATGAGCACCTTCATAATGTAAATGTCTCTTACTTGGAGGGAGGAATGAAATGAAATCATCTTGAGTGAATTTTTGATAAATTGCCAATCCTTTACGTTTCTTAGAGACAACTCCACGTCTAAATTGCTTGTGATAATTTTGACGATACTTGCCCAATACACCATCAGTTTGAGAACGAGATTGACGTCTAGTTTCAGTAGTGAATAATCTGAGAATACCCTTCTTTAAAGAACGAATATAACGAGTTTCAGATTGTCTGAAAACCATCTTTTGAATATGACCAGTCTTTGATTGAATGAAAATCATTGGAAATTCGTTCATTTTCTTGGTCATATCTTTTGAAGTTAAAAGACGACGATATTTTCTACCACTGACACCCTTTGAAGAACCTTGAAATTGGAGGAAGGATACTTGATTGAAAGTGAGGAGAATAACATTCTTATTCTTAGCACTCTTATCAATGAGACCTGACTTTTCATTGGTTTTTCTGGATGGACAAGTTAAAACCAATTCACCAGAAAGTTGAGTTTCAACATTTCCAGAAGAACCCTTCTTACTTGAAGCAAGACCACGATTTCCAATTAAGGAAGTGGTTTTGAACGTGTAAGTGAGGTTTGAATTAGGTGGGCAAACAATCTTGGCAAATTTAGTTGGCTTGGTTTGTTGTTTCTTTGACTCGACAAAGGCAACAGTCCAAAGTAAAATCAAACTTAGCATTAGTAGAGAGCGAGGAATCATTGCACGATTCCATGTCTCATTCTTTACAGCACTTGTTCTCATTGAATACAGTAGATTATTTTACAAAATCCTAGAATGTACAGGTTGTTTACAATTAATTTACAGATATACAATACAAGAGTTGTATCTTTTTTTTGTTTAGTTCACTTTAGTAGAAAATTGGCTTTGTATTTATAGGAATACACTGCAATACAAGAGTTGACTGAAGAGTATTTCTTGTTTGATGTGATTTGATTTACTTCTCCCGCCAATATTCAGTATTGTAGTGGAATTATTTCTGCAGCATTCTGTCATCCATATGTCACCTTTTAGTAAATACATTTCGTAATTGAAATTAAAACTACTGTTTTAAACACAAAAATGGTTGATGCGAATTTGTAAGGTATAATTGTTGTTGTATAATTACACTGCTATTAGTATTGCTCCTTACTGATGTATCAACTGTCTTCATCAGTCAAATTTTGCATGAACGAAGCATCTAGGTAAGGGAATTGAAGTTTGAGGAATGTAAAATCAGAATATTGGAAATGAGGTCTTAAACTTGTAGAAAGTTTAAGTAATTCATCTCTGACAAAAGATGAATCTCTTCCAAGATCTGCACAAATATCAAAAATAGAGAGAACATTTTTGATGAGATGAAGAAGAGGGAATTCAAATTCTTTTCTTTCCTTACATTGTTCCAGTAGACGTTCCAATATAGGTATGACAGAGGTAACTAATTTACGATTGGTTGTGTTGTTGAACTCGTAATCAGTGGAAAATATCTCCTCATGTGAAATTTCCGTAATACCAGTTACATTAATCAGCATACAAGCAAAGAACTTCTTGTAAAAAGTTATTATTGTCTTACTGGTATTGTAAAATGGTCTGGAAATTAAAAACTTGGAAAAAGTGGGAGGAAAATATTTTTGAATAACTGAATTCAAAGAATCAATGGTAGTTTCACCTTGAAGAGTGGAATCTTCCTCTCCTTGAGAGAAACCAAATAGATTGAATAAATTGGTTATTAACGTGGCATAGTCGCCTTCCAAACTTTTCAAAATAAAAGTTAATTCTGTAGTATTAATAAGTTTTGTCTTTGAAAGGGAGCTATAGATTGAATATGGATTTAAAGTCGTGTCTGGCTTGCTTATATAATTACCGAAATTAAAGTATTGAGAAATTAGAAAATGAATGGCTAGACAAGCTAAATCATGTTCACTAATATCAATTTCCCTTCCATTTACATAAGAGTCTACTGTTTTTCTTATTAAACGTTGTAGGCGTATGCACTTTTTCTTATCAAGTAATCCAAGCACTATAACAGCCTCTTCAACTGAAACAAAAGGTTGATTCATTTCCTTTGTTGGTTGCAAGCAAGCAAGTCCTAAGTCATCTAAAATATCATTTGACCCAATTTCTTGCACAGAATATTCAATAGTATTGCAAAATAAATCATATCTTTCTGCACAATATTCATATTTTGGTTGTAAGAACTGAACAAACTCGGAAATAAAATTGTCTGCATTAATAGATTTAACAGAAACATAGCCCGCAATTTTAAATACATTGAATCTACTCATTTCCTCACAAAATAACTGTATTCTAAGATCCTTATAATATTGATCATAACTCCCTTCGTTATTTACATGTTCAAGTATCGATATTTCTATTTCATTACCTGTTCCTTCCATCAATTTCTTCAAGTGATCTTTCTTTTGATCATTAGTTAAACTGTTCAAATCAATTCTTGTGTTGGAGTTATTAATTTCTTCCTGTATCAATCTATTTAATTCATCATTGATCCTCTTTACTCTTAAAGTTTCATCCATATCCTTTTTCTGTTGCTCAATTAATTTCCTCTCATATTCATAGTCAATCAAGCAATTTTCATTAAATCCTACTTTCTTAACAATAGATGGATCACAAAATTGAGCAAATGAAGTATCATTCAACAGATCATCATCGGAATCATCAGAAGTTACTTTTGCTACTATAGGTTCTTCAGTTTCTGTTGGTGTTTCAATCTCCGGCTCTAATGCAACATCCGATTTCACCTTCTTAGGTGTATGATCCAATTCAATATCCTCCTCTATTGTTGGTTGTTCCTCCTCAGTCGAAGGTTGATGTGGCAGTGTAACACGTTTCCTCTTTGAAGACGATGCCGACCGTTTCTTCCGCACTTGTTTGTTGCTCATTTTTTTTGAATTTGTTTTTTTATTTGCCCGACCTGAATTTTTCCTCTGTCAAAGGCAAAATCTACCTGAAGGTGGAATTTGAATCAGCCAATCAAACATTCAATTATTGTTGTAAATTGGTGCTTGCATTTTATTCTTTGCTTTGAACTTTATTCAATTGGTTGACCAAATGAGTGGTTAAAGAGATACTCTTATCCTTTTGTTCGTTAGACCCTTTTGTGCATTAATTTTGATTGTGGTAAACAGACTTGCCCTGGATGCACTTTATAATTCCTCTCTGATATCCCTGTTATTTAAATGTCTGTTCTTTCTTCTTGTTGTGGATATCTGGATGCAAAAGAGGATAACTCTCTTTTTGTTTATTCATGTTTGAACTGGTATTTTTCAAGTCAATAGAAAGAATACAACGAGCACTATTTGGCAGGTCGATGAAATCTGCAGCTCATTGAAAAAAACCAAATGATTACTGACAGTGTTGCCGAGTCAACACCTAGTGTTGAAAGGACTAATGACATTTCAGCTCCACAACTCACAAATACAACTGAGGTCAATCAAAACAATGAATATCTTGATCCAAAACATTGCATGCGAGGTAGAGAAAATTCAATCACTGCTGAAGATTCCTCCCAAAACACAGATTGTTCTCTCGATTCAATGGATGATAATGATGACAGTGTTGTGGCCATTGATGAAATCATGTATGGAAATACAATGAAACCAACTCCATTCATTGACTCACTCAAGAGAAAAGGTAGAACAGGAGCGAAGGAAATCAATGAGAAGGACATTGCTAATGAGACTTGCAGTCAAGGTACTGATTCAAATCACAACTCCCAAGAACCATCCTTTCTTGCAATTATCTTGTTTGGAACTCTAGTATTGTTTGGCAAGTTTCTTAATAAGATTGAGAGTACCAAGTTTTCAGTGTTTTGCTGCTGTTTTTGTTTGCCAACCAGATATAGAGATGTCAAGTTTGGATTAGTTTCGTTGTTATCAGTGATGGCTTTAGTTTTGAATATTGTGGTGTTGATGGCTATTGCAGCAGTTACCATTCTTCAATATTTTTATGTGAGCCAAGTTCCAGTCGCTCAGTTGCTAACAAATAGAGCTACAGCCATATCTTCCTACAATGATATGAAGACAGCTGTGAGATTAGGTGCTTTTAATAGAGGTTCTGTACAAGCCAAGTATCCATTAGAATTGTTCAGGAATGGCAAAACATCATTCACCAATTCATTGACCAATATTTTGAATAACATTCCATCCATTGAAACAGAGTACATGTATCTGAATGGTTCAAGAGATCCCAATTCAATTTATAGTTTAGATGTTTTGAGAGTCTGGGAATTGACCATGAATTTAACATTCAATGGAACAAACATGGACTGGGGAAATAAGTTCACAAACGAAACTCACAGAGATGGAGACAGAAATCAAGGAGGTACTAAACCTCCAGGTGGAGGAGGTGGAGGTGGTACTAAGCCACCAGGAGGTGGAGGAGGACCAAAGAATGGAACTAAGAATGATCAGCAACAACTTCCATCTGTGACTAATCAATTGGTAGCTCAATTCTATATGAATTCGTCAGACTTTGTGAATGCAGAGATGGCTGACGGCGTTTTGTTTAGAGATTTCCTTGATAGGTTATTCAATGAAAGTATCTATGCGACAGACATTGGTTTTTACAGTAACGTAACCTCTTTGGCACTTCTAGGTCTCTCCATTTTAATTGTCATACCCTTAGTGATCATAATATTTGGTATCAGTTTAAAGACCTCACAGCAGAACCAGAAAAAGTTACAACAAGTGAATGCAGCGATGGTTCTCGACACATTGAAAGATCCAACCCAAAAGCAAAGATTTAAACAATATTGCTCCAACTCCTCAGAATTGGAAGTGAGTTTCTTATTCCTTGATTTGGTCAGTGAATATAAGGAAGTTTCCTCTCAATCCGTACAGGTACAAGTTGACTTGTTTGAAAAATCAAAACAATACTTGACTTTAGAAAAGAATAGGGACTCTATCAAAAATCAACCCTCAGAAACTGAGATCCACAGTATTCGTAAAAGTGAGAAGAAGCTTAAAAAGATTGAAAAGGAGAAGCAAAATCTTGTCTTTGAAATCTGGTCCCAATTTCTCGAACCATACACTGAAATTAGAACTATTCTCTCCAGGGTGTCAGTTTCAGATGTTGAACTACTAGTCAAAGAGATTGACTCTTTCAACAATCAATTAGAAGAATACCAATACTTTGATATTCTCCCAGATGATTTATTTAATGAAGTTGAAAGACAAATTGCCAAGTCACTCTCTGAGGATCATCTCAAATTCCAAAACATGGATCCAAATCAACAAATCATTGCCGCCAACAATATATCAGAAGATGATGGAATTGAAAACATCACTAAGGAAGAGGCACTACAAGATGATATCTCACCAAGAGTATCGGTGGCCATTCCAATCGAACAAGTTTAATAATAAATATTATTATATTTATTATGTAACATTCTACAATATGTAACCTTAAATAAAGATTCTTCATCGGATGATGAAGGACTTTGTACTTTCTGAAAAACACAACAAACGTTACCTGTTCTATCTCCCTCATAAGTTATTGAGTTATTATTACATCTTAAGGGAGATGAAAGATGAACTTGAGCACACTAACCGGAAACAACTTGTTTCTCCTTAAAATCATATATTAAAAAAATATCAACAACACTTTGAAAATGGGTAATGTTGCACCAAGACTAGATGGTGAGTGGATTGAAAGATCAGGAAGAATTTGGAGAGCCACACAATTCGGTAATACCTTCCAATGGGTTCAAGATGGTACTAATAGAAATGCTACTGGTATAGCTGTGCCATTGAACGGGGGATTACAATGGGTCTTATTTGCAACGTAGGTGTTTCATAGTTTGATGACAATTTTAAAATTTATATATTAATTTACAAAGATTTGATGGACATGCCAATATGAAGTTTGTTCCTTCAGTTGATGGGTCACAATTAGTAGCAACTAATGAGACCTTTACTAGAATTCATTCTATGAATTATTCAACTGGATTGTCTCAACCAGCTTCAACTGTTATTCAAGATGTTCCTCCTTTGATCGGAGCTGATTTTACCGAAAATTCTGGAAAGGTAGGTATTTGAAATAATTGTTGTTTTATACATTTTGTATAAATTAAAGGTTTGGAAATGTACTATGCATGAAGGAGGACATTTTGTTTTGAAAAATCAAACCGATGGAAGAATTTGTGATACCTACACTGTTCGTGATAACAATAGAAATGTATTTGTATTGTATTTGGTTTTCCAAAATCAAGGAAGTGAACAAATTCTTAAGGTTGAAACTATGGATATTAATACATGGCAATTGCCTAATGGTGATTGTTTTAGAAGAACTGGACAACAACAACCAATGCAACAACAGCCACCAATGTATCAACCAATTTATCCAACTACCAATCAACCAATGTTTCCACAACAACCAACTGTTCCTCAACAAAACTTTAATCCTTATCAACCTTTTGGACAACCTACTGCACCTTCTTATCCAATGCAACCTCCATATGGTCAACAACCACCATATCAACAACAAATGCAACCCCAAATGCAACAACCAATGTATCAACAACCACCTGTATATCAACAACAACCAATAGTACAACCTGTAGTTCAACCAATGGTTCAACCTATGGTACAACCAATTCAACAAAAGAATAAGTTTTACAGAATTGGAGGTGGAAAGGACGGAATTACAAATTGGACTCGTTGGAATGGGGCTGGTAAGTATTAAGATTTATATTTCTAATTTACATCTTTTAGGTTGTAATTCTGCTGTAGAGGGTTGGGAAATGGTATTTGAAGTTGATGGTAGGTTATTTTCATCTTTATTCGGACTTACACATATTAAGCAAACGGAAATGTTTCTGGAAGTAATAAGAATGATAGTAAAAATTCCATCAGAAAGCATTATAGTGGAACTTTTAGAAATAATATCATGGATGTTACTGCTAGATGGGATGATGGTAGAACAGCCACATATAAAGGAACTGTCACTGGAAATAAGGTCAGACTTGATTTTACCATTACTGCTGTTGGTACTCAAGGTGGTCATGTTGGAGATTGTGGATTTAATACTGGAACATTATTTGAAACTAGTAGCAGTCCATCAGAAACCAAGTCTTTCAATATCAGTGGTAAAACATTTTGGACTAAATGGAATGGCTCATCATGTGTAAGTTTTTTAAGGATTATTCAAAACTAATAAGGTTTATAGAATTCTGAAGTAGATGGTTGGAAGATGACTTTCAATGTTGATAGTAAGTTTTAGCTCTAAGAAATTTATATTGAATTTTGTAGAATTTGGTAATGTTTCAGGAAAGAATAAGAATGCTGGACAATCATATGCCAAGACATACTCTGGAACCTTCTTGAACAATTTCATGGATGTCACTGCAAAGTGGGAAGATGGTAGAGTTGCCACTTATAAGGGAACTTTGAATGGAACCAAAATTAGATTAGATTTCGTCATTGTATCTGTTGGTACGCAAGGAGGAAGAAATGGGGACTGTGGATTCAACATGGGAACTGTTGAAATTGTTTAATAAACTAGTTCACATTAAATTTTTCAAATCATAAGACCATTAAGCAGGCCACTAATCAAATTGACTTGCAATTCTAATCAACATGACACTTTTCTGCTTTGTGACTTTTCTTCTCAAATTGATTGAAATTTTATATAAAAATTAATTTAAATAAAAAAATGAATCAAATGAACCCAATGGGTGGACAAGTGTCTATGGTTGAATTGGAAGCTTTCCGAACTCTCTACTTCAAGTATGTATCTAAATATTGATGATTTTATTTAATGTGCAAATCACACTTGTTGTGATGATTATTTTTCCATTTTATCAAAATAGTATGCTCACAGTCTGCAATAAAAAGTGTTTGACTGCTTACGGAAAGGATTTGGATGACTATGAAAAGAAGTGTATTGATTCATGTGTTGATAAATTCTTTGATGCCCAAAAGGAAATTTCTCTCGTGATGCAAAACCAACAACAATAAAAAAATTATAAAAATTACTGATGATGAAATAATTATTTGATAACGGTGATCATGGTACCCTACGGAAAGATTTAACAATGAATGATATCATCATCCGCGAGAATTTTACAATGACAATTCTAATTTTATTAATATCCACTTCAACCAATTCGAGTAGATAATTATTCAGCATACAAATTCGAAACAAATTTGGTAAAGGAAAAGATGATGATCAGCTGATGGTGGTACCACCATATTATCCACTATTCTTTCAAAGTGACTTTATTGGTTCCATCATGTTATCCGCGCCCTTGATAACAACGTTATGACTGGTCGTTGAACAACAAGCAAAAAAAATCCATTCTCTTATCCACTCGAGTGGTTTTCTCCAATTTCTAAAAGCATCTTTCTTTTCAGAGAGCAGAGTGTTTGACTAGTTGTGCATCTACTATCGATACTAAATCTCCTCGATAGGATTGTGTTTATTGGATTTCAAATAATATACGTATAGACGAATACATAATTTAGGATGTGTTTGATTACATTGGCTCTATTGGGTTGTGTGGTTGCTTTGGTATTGGTTGCCTTGTTTTATTTGTTCCGAGCACCAAAGTCACCTGATGCATCATTCTTTAATGATATTTTGATTGGACACAGAGGTTGTCGTTATATAAAGACTAAGAGCATTCCAGAAAATTCTCTTAGTGCTGTTCGTTACTCAATTGAGCATGGATCTGATGGTGTTGAACTTGATTGTCAACTTACTAAAGATGGAGAAATTGTAGTATTCCATGATACTCTTGCCATGCAAAGAGTTTGTTATGGTATTGATAAAATGGAAGGAAAGAATAGTATTGGAATTGGTCAATTGACTCTTGAGGAAGTTAAGAAATATTACAGATATATTGATGATGAAAGTGGAAAGGAACAAATCCCAACACTTGAAGAATATATCAATTTTGTCTTTTCTTTGGATCCAAAACAAGTCATTATGATTGAAGTCAAACAATATTCTAGATTGGCACTCATGGCTAAAAAGTTAGACGAATTATATAAGAAGTATCCATCTCTTTATCGTCAATCAACAGTAGCCAGTTTCAATCCAATTTTATTGTATGTCATGAGAAAGTTGAATCCAAAGGTTGTCACCAATTTACTTTTCAAGAGAGGATTATTGGGTGATTGGATGAAGCACAGTAGACCAACGGAATCTAAAGGTCCAGGTTTGAAGAGAGTTTATTCTGGTGACTTCCCAACAGTATTGTGTGAATTGAGTGAAGGTTCTAATAAGAATTTGAAAGATAAGATTATCTATTCATCATTAGAAGCTCTTACCAAGATTTTGGACAAGATGTGGTATTATGCCAATATTACAGTTATTCCAGCATTTATTGGAAGTGCTGTTTTAGGTTTTGATGCTTCTCTTGCAACAGTGGATTACCTGAAGAGTTTGCAAAAGAGAGGATACGTGACAAACGTTTGGGTTGTTAATACTCCTGAACTGAAAAAGACACTGTTAGACAATGTCAAATTGGCATTAACTACCGATTTCCTTTTCCCTAAAGAGGAGCATTAATAAATTTTTACAATAACGATAATCCACCATCCACAACAAGATTTTGTCCATTAATATATTCTGATTGCTCTGAAAGAAGGAATCGAACCATACTGGCAACATCTTTTGGCTTTCCCATTCTCACCTTTTCAATCTTTTGAACCATTTCATTCTTTTGTTCACTTGATGTTTTTGAAATGGAATCCGAAATGTGTTTGGTCATTTCAGTTTCAATGAATCCAGGACTAACAACATTAACTCTGACATCTCTTCCAAGCAACTCACGAGATAAATTCTGAGAGAAGGCAACAACTCCTGCCTTAGATGCTGCATAAACTGATTGTCCAACATTGGTCATATGAGTTCCACCAATCACACTAGAAATATTAACAATTGATGAAGGCATTTCACCACTCGAATGACTCAACATAAAGTATCGGAGAGAGCTCTTACAAACATTAATAGTTCCCATCAAATTAATATTCATAATTTCCTCCACATCCTCTTGAGAAAACCTCAACAATAGTCCGTCTTTGGAAATTCCAGCAGCATTCACCAACATATTCATTGCATGACTTTTACCAAATTGTTGCGAAATTTGTTTAATTGTCTCCGAGACTTGTTTAGCATTGGAAACATCACATGGAAAATGATATTGATTAGGAAATAAATCCTTAGCCTCAATTTCCGATCTACTTATCGTTGCACAATGTACTCCCCATTCCGATAATTGTTTTGTAATTTCCCTCCCAATGCCTTTAGAAGCACCTGTAACAATACACAAAGTTTGTGGTCTGAGTTGGCTTGCACGAAATGAAAGCATTTTTTTTAATTTTTGAATAGAATTTTATTTTTGATATAATTTTGAAATACAAACTGATTTGCAAATCAAATTGAAAAGAGATTTGGAGTCAATGCACAAATATTCTTTGGATTAATTTAATGATAATTGTATTTCTCAAATCTCAAAAATCATGATTGTAAATAATTTTTACTTTTTCTTTAATTTTTGTAAAAGTCCTGCAAATAATTTGTGTTTGATATTTTCAGTTCCTGATGTAGAGACAGAAGAGGGCGAAGAATTCACACTATTTGACCTAGCTGGACTTTTTGGTGAAATGGCCTCACCACTTGAATTGGAATGGGTGTGACTACCTGCTGAGCTAATATTGGGTGAGTTTGGATCGCCAGCTAATCGATGAGTGGATTCTCTCTTTTGTTTTCTTTCCATTTCTTTCTGTTCAATTCGAATATTCTTAATGGTTCCTCCCAAATTATTGGCCAACTCTTCGTGAGTCATGTCCATTGTGGAAAATTGTTGATAAATATTGGTATTGATGAGTCCTTTTCCTTCCTTATCTCTCACATGATTGAATTTTGAAATGAGAAATTTGAGAGCATGTTGATAACTGTGATGATCGCCATCGTAATCTTCAAAACAGAAAGTTAGAGGAGTATTGGTAATCTTTTCACGGAATGAATCCCATTTGGAGAGGAGTAGGATGGCAGGTGTATTTCTGAACCATTTACTATTACACATTTTACTGAAAAAGTCCAAACTGTATGTTGAGTATAATTTTACAATAAATAGTTCAATAAAAACAAGATCATTTTCACTTACCTCTCACGAACAATATTCTTTCTATCGAGTGATGATGGAATGACATCAAAATCACCAATTGGACACAAGAATAAGACAATGTCCACACCTTGGAAGAGGAAGAGCCACTTTCTTCCATCATTATTCTGACCTTCCACACAATAAATTGTATATTTAGAACCACTAAAGTCAAATTCAATTTCTTCAATACCTTTCTTTTCTTCTTTCAAGTGAGTTTGACAATATTTTACATCTTCATCGGTTGGTACGTAGTCAAACTCTGAAATTCTGTCAATATTACTCATGAAAAAGTCCAAATTATACAAATCCTTATAGAGAGTAAAGCAATTGATTTCACCTGCGTTGAAGTGTTTGTCATTGATGGCAACTGCTCTTACATCTTCTTCTTCAGTATCAACTCTGACTTGTGGAGTTTCGGCAACAGTTTCGTTCACTTCATTATTGGTTTCAGTTGTTTCGGTTTCGGCAACAGTAGCTGCTGAAGGTTCAGTTGCTGTTTCATTCAAATTAGCAGTTTCAGTTGTTGCACTGGCATTAGTTTCATTTGTACTAGTTTCGTTTTGTTTTTCATCATGATTTTCTTGATTTTCATGATTTTCAGTTGCATTTTCAGAAACAGCTTCGTTCAATTGTTTCTGTTGCAACAATTGTGCTTGTTGATTTCTATATTCAATAAATTCCGAATGAATTTCCTTAGCTCCACGTTGTTCCCACAATAATTTCATTAATCTTGCAACTTCACTTGTCAACACATGTTCTCCATAACGAAAATGTAAATTACTCAAATAACTGATGGCAAATTCAATATCATTCTTTTGTTCAGAGTGTCTTGGTAGAATGGAAATGTCAAGCTTTTCAGATGCCAAAATTAATTGTTTAATTCCATTCAATGCATGGAAATGAATAATATCTCTAAAAGTTTTGTTCAGAGCAAGATGATCTACAAGATTTTCATCGTGTAATGAATTCTTTTCTGTTATATATTCCTTCAACTTTTTAATAATTGTTGATTTTCCTATTTTGGATCCAAAAGTAAATATTAAAAACTAAGAGAAAAAACAAACCTGCTCCATTAAGTCCTAGTAATAATATTTTAACATTTTGTGTTGATGAATTTGACGTTTGACTTGACAGGGATTCAGTTGATAAATTTAAATTTGATATTGCTCTTTGTTTTCTACTTCGGGGAGTGAGAGGTGGTGTTGGTTCTATCAAATTCTGACTACTGGAAGCGAGTGATGATGTTGATGTTTCTGGATTTTGAATTGTTGCTACATCAGAATTATTGGAGGTGTGATGTTGACCCATTTCGAATAATAATTAGAATAGTTTAGTTTAGGTATTATTATTTGTGATGATGGTTTTTTAAAATTCGAAATGACCGTTATAAAGTGTGGCAAATGTAGTGAACTTTTTTTTTGTTGTTTTGTTTTTCCACTATTGATGTTTGATGTGAATATTGAAATGGTAATCATATAGTTGTAATTGGATTGGTTTTACTAGATGATGTTTTATGATCCTTTGTTACAAGATCTGGGTATTGAGTATTCAATACAATAATCTTTCGTTTTCATTCGAATAAGAATAAGAAATTGCTTCTTTTATTAAGAATTAGATTTAATTCTCCCTAGTTTTATATTTTGTTACTAATTTTACAATGGTTTAGATCTTTTTTGAATGAGTTTTCGCTGCAGGGTCGACAAGACCATTCTCTTTCTGGCTATCATTATTTGTCTGTACGCCTCAATAAATTCCTGTATTTCTCTTGCTGTTTTCAATCTCGGAGCATAAATCTCATCATGAATATGAGTAGTTGATTCATTAGATGATGTCGTCGTGATGATGCTTTCTTCCTGCATTGTATTGAGCTTGTTTTTTATTGTTGAGAGAAATTACAGTTTACTGAAGAGATTGACCAGTTTCAAATCATTTCCTGTAGTTTTGGCCAATCCTTTTCAATCTGTATTTGTCTTTAGGAGAGGTTCTGATTTTTCTTCTTGGTCGTGAGGAAAGTTCTGGCGAGTTGATTTCGTCCATTGATGAGGCATTGGAGTTCAAAATTGTTTCTTCCTTACATGAATCCTTAACTATTGTTTGACTTGGAATAGAAATTGGTTGCAAACCCTTGCTAGAAGAATTGGTGAGGAGCTCGTTATGTTGGCCCTCTTGATGGTTAGTGATTAGAATTGTTGATTTGTCATCGTCAAAGGATAGCTGTTGATTGTCAACTTGTCTTACCGAATTGATTCTTCCCCTTGCATGAATAACACAATACAAATCATGTGATCGATTCAGGAATGTTTGTAAATCTTCAGTGATTGCACTAGACGAACCAACAATTGGACATGCTGAAATCAAAGCCTTTATCAATTCATCTTTTCCACTCGAAAGAAAAGCTCTCTTGATCAGTTGTTTATCCACTCCGACCATATAACAATGAGCCATCAACTCATTCTTTGGTACATGTTGTAAATAGTCTGAACAGCCTGTTGAAATCCAATCTTTAACAAATTGTTCAACCTCACCATAGGTAATGATAGGAAGAGTTACCGAAGATGTATGTGGATAGGAAAATGTATTCATGCTAATGATGAGAACGATTGCTGTGTTGTATCTTGTGCTGAAAGGCTTGTTTGAATTGACTCAATCAGGAGAATGATGGAGAGTGATGTTGTGTTTGTTTTTTTTACTTTGCACAAAGTTTGTTTCCCTTTACTTGCTATTATTGAGTTAAACTTTAAATTAACAAAGCCTTGATATTTTCAAAGCTTTGAAATTTGGCGCCAAAATCATCTCTTGATATCCCCATAGTAATGTTACACTGTAATAGATATCCAAAAAAGGTTAGGGCCACTTTCTGAGATGAATAGGTCATCACCATGATTAAATTATAATAATATTAAACAGGTCATTACTTCATCTTGGATATCATCACATCTAATATTTGGGTATTAACAATTATAATTTTCGTTTTTAAATAAAAATTGAAATTAAAAAAAATGATGAACAATTCTGATAGTTCGGATAGTTTCTTCAGAAGAGAGGAGCGTTTGTTGGATGAGAATACAGTATTTGAAGGAGTTGAATCATCATCACATCATATAAATAGTTTATCATCATATTCAACTTCTCCTGTTTTTGCTTCGGGTTCCGTTTTATCAAACACTCTTTCATTGATGAAAACTCATCATCATTCTAAATTTTACTTGTGCACGTTTGATTCTGGTTTATTAACTAAAAAGAAGGGTTTGAATTTTATCTTGTCCCAAATTGTATCGGAGAAGAAACGTTTACATGAATTGGATGAAAATGCAAAGATTATTATTGTTGCTCCTTCTACATTGAATGAAGATGAAGGTACTAAAATGTTGAAATATATTCAATCATTATCACAAAAGAAGGATGATGATTCATTTGAATCACTTCAATCTGAAAGTATTGTTGAAAGATATTTGACTGAATTTTTAGAACCACTCTGTCAATTGTACAAGCAATATCCAGCTCTTGAAACTGTTACTTTTAATGAATATAGAGCAAAGATGAAACAATCCCTTATTGGAGTTAATTTATTATCAGAATCTACACCAAAGGTTATTGCTAAAATTATTGGATATTATAGTGAAATGGTTTGCAATTTCTTGTTAGAATTCTTACAATCTGAAGAAATTAATCATTCATTTTCAGCTGCCTTGTTAGATAGCAAGAAGTATTTAACTACGGCTGTTGAAGAAGTGACCCACAGTGATAAGGTCAACTTTACCATTTACGAGCAAAGAAAGCAAGACCAATATTTGAGAGCCAATTATGATTCTCCACTCGTTGATACTGATTTAATTGAAGAATTAAAAACCAGTGAAGCAGACATTCTCATCACTCAAGGAAATATGGGTTGTGATGGAAAGGGTGATGTTGTTCTCTTTGGAGTTGGAGGTTCAAATTCTGACCTCTCTGTGGCAATTTATGCTACTAAACTTGATATTGGTTCAGTGGACTTTTGGACAAATACTGGTGGAATTTACACATCCTCTGACATGAAAACAACAAATGCCAAGTTTGTTTTGGAATTATCTTATCATGAAGCATTAGAAATTGCCACCTCTGATAACTTTAAGATTTTACAACCAAGAAGTCTCAAGCTCTTACAAGAATTCGATATTCAAATTAGAATTAGATCTGTCAAGCTTTTGAAACGTTTCCAATCTGGGCAAATTGATAAGGAATATATTACTCTCATTCAAAGTGAAAATGATGAAGAAAAGTCATCAGAAGAACACGTCACAAGTTTAACCTATGAAGAAAAGACACCACACGTCAAGTGCATCTGTATCAGAAGAGACATTCTTATGGTATCTATTGATACATTGGATATGTGGCAAAAAGTTGGTTTCTTGGCCGATGTTTTCTCCAAATTCAAAAAGTATAATATTTCTGTAGATTTTGTTACAACCTCTGAGGCCAATATTACCATCACTTTTGATGCTACAGCCAAGTTGGACAATGATATTTTGAACAAGCTTGTTAATGATTTAAGATCTATGAATTGCAGAGTTGAAATTATTGGACCATGTGCTGCCTTGTCATTGATTGGTAAGAATATTAGATCATTCTTGCCTCGTCTTTCATCTGGTTTGAAGTATTTCTCTGGACAAAAGATTCATTCTGTTGCCTTGGCTGCCTCTGATGTCAATTTGACTTTCTTGCTCGATCAAAACAATTCCAATGAACAATTATTGAAAGAATTACACGATTGGGTCTTTATTAAGCAAGCCATTGATTCCCAATATATTGGACCATCTTGGACTGAACTTTTCGAAACTCAAAAACAAAAGATTAACGATGTCAGTGGTAAACATGTTTGGTGGCGTGTCAAGCAAAATCAACTTCTCGAATTGATGCAAGCTGAAGATCAACCTCTCTATGTTTATGATGTTGATCAATTTTATGCCAATGCTCAAAAGCTCATCAATATTTCAACTAAGTGTGGAGGACCAGTTGATACCATTTTCTTTGCTATCAAGTCCAATCCAAATGTTGAAATTCTCAAGATATTCGAAGGTATCGGTTTCGGTTTGGAATGTGTCTCCATTGATGAAGTGAGAATGGTCTGTAATCTCTTCCCTAATATTGATAAGAGTAGAATCTTGTTCACTCCAAACTTTGCTCCAAAGAAGGAATATAGAGAAGCTATCTCATTGGGAGTCATGTTAACCATTGATTCTCTTTATCCACTCATGAATTGGTCAGAATTACTGAGGGGTAAGTCTGTTCTATTGAGAATTGATCCAGGTGCAGGTAAGGGTCACCATGCTAAGGTTAAAACAAGTGGTGTTCAATCCAAGTTTGGTATTCACATTAGTGACATTCCTCAAGCCATTGAATTGTGTGAACAATTTAGTATTACAGTTATGGGATTGCATGCTCACGTTGGAAGTGGTATTTTGGATGAAGCTGAAGCATGGAAGAAGACTGCTACTACATTGACTCAACTCATTTCAGAATATCCAAAATTGGCTAAAGATGTTAAATTAATTGACTGTGGAGGTGGTCTTGGTGTTCCTTATGTGCCTTACAAGCAAACTGAATTGGATTTGGGCGAAGTTGCTAAAGCTATGACCGAATTCAAGTTAAATAATAATCCAACAAATGTCAAGCTCTGTATGGAACCTGGAAGATTTTTGACAGCCAATGCTGGTGTCTTGTTAGCTCGTGTTACACAAATTAAGAATAAGAATTTCAAATTATTTATTGGTATTGAAACTGGTATGAACTCACTCATCAGACCAACCTTGTACAATTCCCATCATGAAATTGTCAACTTGTCCAAGATCAGCAATCCTGATAGTGATGATCCAGCTGAAAGTACAATGGTTGCCGATATTGTGGGACCAATTTGTGAAAGTGGTGACGTTTTTGGTAATGATAGACCAATATCTAGTGAAACACGTGAAGGTGATGTTCTTTGCATTTGTACAGCAGGAAGTTATGGATTCAGTATGTCGTCCAATTACAATAATAGAGCCCCAGCTAAGGAAGTTTTCATTCCTTCATCCAAGAAAGAGTAGAATTTCTATAAAAATTTTGATTCACACTTTTTACTTTTGTTCAGCAGTTGTTGTTTCAGTTGTATTGGTCTTTTTCTTCTTCTTCTTCTTTTGCTTCAAGTCCATATTTTGTGCAATAAACTCCTTCTTTTCCTTTTGTCTTTCTCTTCGTTTACGTTTCTTTTCCAAATTGATAGCACTCTTAATAATACTTTGTTTGACAGGTGTTGGGAATTTGATCTTTCTACTTTCATGCTTTTTTTTGATTAATCCTAAATGATGGTCAAATGTTTCCTTTGGAATTGATACAATTGGCAGAGTTACCAAAACCAATCCATTCTTCAAAAATTGAGCAGCAACCTTTTCCTTGTTAACTTTAATCAAACCTGGGAACTTTCTTTGTAACCATAATTTCCTAGTATATCCAAGAGTATCAACTGTGAAATGGTCATCCTCAACATCGAGTTTAATATACTTTTCTGGAATCTTGTGAAGAATAATAACCATCTTTATCGTCTTTCTGACAATATTAACTCTGAATGAAACTGGAGCCTTTTGATATTTCACTGAATTCTCGGATTGCATAATTAATTCAGCATCTGACTTTGGAACTGGTTCTTCAGTGATAGCTACTTTATTCTTTTTCCTCGATTCAGCAGCTTCCGAAGCTTGTTGAGCAGAAACCATTTCAAATTGTTCTTCAATTTCCTTCAAGAAATCATCTTCTGGAAAATCCAATTCTTCAACTTCTCCCATAACATCTCCAGATTGTGTTGTTGTGATCATATCTTGAATTTCTTCATCGGTTTTTTGTTCAAGTTTCTTATCAGCACTCTTTTTGGCTTTGATTGGTTTATTCTTCTTGGTGTTTTGCTCAGACATTTTTTTGAAGTTGTGAATTTTAAAAATAAAATTAAATTTAATGATGTTGGGTGAAAAATTATTGTTGAATTTCACTACTTTTTGGATCCTTGATGTTTTTCACAAGGGTAACTATTGTTAAATTGTTTGCATTAAATTGGTGTACTCCATGCAAATTCCGAGAGAATAGATCTATTATTAAATAAATAATAGAGAATTGGAGATTGAAAGAATTGAATTTCATCTAATGAGCCAATTTGTCCAATGTTGTTGGGTCAATATCTTCCACTACAAAGGCATTTTCAACATGTCGTAATTGATATCTACAATAGTATAATTGTTGATTGGGACTGAGAGCTCTTCCACCATATTTCAAATTGATGCATGCCTCATAATCATAAATGAAAATCTTTTCATAAACCTTGTTTGGTTGTAGGAATAGTTGGAATGGATTTGTGTAGAGAACTATTTCTTCTTCACCAGAATCAGAGAAATGCTTATCTGCAACATCTTTTGGAATACATGTCCTCACCACACCAATTCCATAATAATATAAAACATGGAAGAATGTAACTGAGAATCTATCTGGATTCTTGATATCTAAGCAAATGATATCCTGTATCCTTGCTGGTTGAACTGTAACATTCCCATTACTTATGGTTTCTGCTCTGATATGATCACCAATCTTGTATGTCATTCCATTTACAATTGCCTTATTGTAACAATGATAGGCTGCATTATTATGATGTCTGATTCTTGGATTTTCTAGAAATTCTATTGAAGGAGGTGGTGGAGGTTGTTCTATCACTGATTCTTCACTAATTTCCTCTTCCTCATCAATTAATCTGAGAGTTTCTCTTTCATTTTCAATAAAATCAATATGATTAAATGAAGGACTGTTTACGACATGAACAGAACTGAGTGAGACAGACTTATTTCCATGAATTAATTTAGCATTGCCATAATGTTTTGTTTTCTTCTCTTTTGGCTCTCTAGGTTCTAAAACATCCTTCTTTCTATTTAAATCGTCTAGTTTCTTTTTCAAAAATGTATTTTGTGCTCTCAAATTTTCAATATCTTGCCTAAGTACTCTTGATCTTGTATTTATGGAATTATTCCAAAAATCAAATAAAAATGATTGATATTTTGACATAATATACAGCTGTTTTGATTTGTTGTTTTCCTTCACAGCTTGCTCAAATAGTCTTGTGAAAGTATCTTTAGACTCAGCAAGTCCAGTATTAAGAGTTTTTACCATTTCATTTTGGGTTTCGTATTGCAGAACACCAGTGTTATTAACAGTGTAGGAAACTTTTAAGGCCTCGTACTTTCCCTTCTTTTCTTCCACTCTAAAACAATTCATATAAAAACTATGCTTTTCACTTTTTTTCATAGTTGTTCCCTCGTTATAGTATGCAGAGCAAATTAATCCAACTGCATATTGTGCTTGTGTTTGCATTTCAAATTGCATTTGTAAATCTTTCATAGATGGAAAAGGTGGTATCCTTGGACTTTATATAATATTAAATATTAAATTGTCGTCAATATATTGTACTTACTGAGAGTGATACCATCCACAAAAAATCAAATCTCTATTAATTTCATTAAATTAGAAATTCACAAATTGTAAATAACTTACTTTTCTTGGAAAAACTCTTGGGCTTTGATTAGCTCATTTGGATCACATTCAACACCATCAATTGCAATATTTCCAATATCCCTCTTGAGAGCTTTGAAGCAACTAATGTACACAACATAACTCTTCTCATCGAAAAATCCACCTAGCAATCCAATAACCTTCAACAAATAATGAATATTCGAATTGAATATTTGTCAAACTAACCTCGTTATTATGATCGGAATATGTATGATCAATAATTCCACACACAACTGATTGTTCTACTATCACTGAAAATACTCTATCATTATTTCTAAACAAATATTCAAGATTTAAATTCAATTAGATTAAAACCTACTTCTTCTCAGTCATCATATGACAAATTGTTCTATCGGAGGAAAAATCACCTTTTTTAACAATATAATGTTTTTCAGATGAAGCGTTATCATCACTCCTATGATCATCAGTATGTTGTTTACCATTCTCCTTTCTATTATTATTATTATTTGTTGTTACATTTGTTTTTTCATCTTGTTGATTTCTTTTACCTCCAGCTACAACTGCTTGATTATTACTCATCTCCACTATTATGTAATAATAAATATATTAATATATTCGAGATAAGATTGTACTATTATGATGACGATGATATTAATTGTTGTTGGTTTTGTGGTTGTTAATCAATTTCTTTGGTGCTTACAAAAACAGTGAACGGTATGCACACAAAGCTTTTTTTTCTCTGATTTGAAGGAAGTGATGATGAAGCACGACTATTTTGCTTTACATAGCATCGGTAGGGACTTGGAAGTATTGAAGGTTATTAAAATTGTCCTGTTGTTACAAGGTGCTTAGTATAGTGAGATTAAAAAGTTATGTTAGATAAGAGTTAATGGATAGACATAAAAATGTGATTGGCGCCAAAACAAAAAAACAAATCTATTCGTTTTCTTCGTTGCACAAATCCAGCAGGAGGAAGAACAAAAAAAATACGTTAATTGTGTGGAGACAACATCACATCATAGAGGACATCAAAAGCCTATTAAAGTTGATTAAACTTTCTACTACAATTATCACTTTACGGAATATCATCATTAATTTATTTATTTATTTGTACATAGTAAAATGACAAGCAAGAGAAAAAGACAACAAGAAATTGAATCTGATGAAGAGGAGGAAATACCAAATACACAAATAGAGGAATCGGATGAGGAAGAAGCACCAAAATTAACACAAAAAAGTAAGAAAAGGAAAGATAAAACTGCTTTTGATGCAGAAGATGGAAAAAACCTTGAAGCAGGTATTATTGAAGAAATTAAATTGAAGAACTTTATGTGTCACCCTAACTTTAAAGTGGAATTTCATGACAGAACAACTATTATTCACGGTGAGAACGGTAGTGGTAAAAGTGCTGTTCTTACAGCAATCCAAGTTGGGCTTGGATCGAAGGCTAAGAATACTAACAGAGGTAATTCCATTAAGGATCTAGTCATGTCAGGAAAAGAACATGCTGAAATTATGATTAGACTCAGAAATCAAGGAAGAGATGCATACAAGAAAGAACTATATGGAAGATCCATTATTATTGTAAAGGGTATTTCCAAGGCAGGTAGCACTACTCTCAAAATTCAAAATAGTCAAGGAAAGACCATTTCAAAATCTAGCAAGGAATTGGCAATCATTTTACACTCTTTCAATATTCAAATAGAAAATCCTACCACCTGCATGACTCAAGATATCAGTAGAGAATTTTTGGCCGGATCTTCTGAGGCCAAGAAATATCAATTTTTCCTGCGTGCGACTCAAATTAAAGATATGGAGGAAAATATTGCTCAAGCAAACAAGAACAATAAGATTATGGAAGATATGTATGCTGATAAAATAAGCGCTTTTCAAGAATCAACAGAAGAATTAAAAAAAAGAGAAGACCTTTACAAAGAAACAACAAGGATAGATGAGCTTAGAAATGATATGACTGCTTTACAATCTGAAAGGGGTTGGGCTATCTACCATAAAAACAGGGTTCAGTATGAAGGTGAGGTCAAATTGAGAGATGCACTTAAAAGAAGTTTAGATGAACTAATTGAGAAGAAAAACTCATCTTCAGGGACTAGGATTTCAGAGTTAACAACTAGGAAGTTCCAAATTGATGAAGAGATTGAAAGTATTGGCAAAAAAATTTACCTGCTAAACCAAGAGGCTAGCAATGTGCTTAACAAGAAAAGGGATATTGAAACTAGAGCAAAAAATTCTCAGCAAACTAGACAAAAAATCAATAGAGAAATAACTGCTCTGGAACAAGAAATTCAACTTTTCGACAGAAACAAAAATGAAACACTTTCAAAGAATAAGACTGATAAAGAGTCAGCTATCAAGAGCAAACAGGAGGAAATAGATAAAATTCAATCAGATATCGACAAAATAGAAGAAAATAAGAAACAATACGAAGAAGAAGCCACAGGCATTAAGGTCAACAGGGAGAAATTGACTACTCAACAAAATCAGACAAGACATGAAAGAGGCAGTATAGAGGAAGATATTAGAAAATTACAAGATGAAGAGAGTAAACTCAAGCAAAGTAGAACTGATAAATTTGCAATGGTGGGAGGAGCACAAATGAAAAATTTCCTTTCTGAACTAAGCAAGAGCAAGAATTTTTCTAAGCCGCCAATAGGACCTTTGGGATTGCTTTTAAGCGTTAAAGAAGAGTATTTAGATTGGGCCGCTGCAATTGAGCAATTTCTTATCAAAAATTTAAATGGATTTATTGTTGATAATTTCAAAGACGGAGAAGAATTGAACAGAATCAAGAAGAAAACTGGTGTCAAATTTACGCACATCATTCAGCAATATACCAACTCGGTTTATGATTTAAGTAAGGTTCTCCCTCACGGTCATACCACTATTTATCATACATTAGATGTAGATTTGAATGCACTTAGGAGCACTCCTTTGAAGTATGATGATACTGAGGTTCTCAGATCAACATTAATTAATATGCTTATTAACCAGTCTAGAGTTGAAAGAAATGTGCTCATTCAAAATCTTAAAGAAGCACAATCATTTATAGATCAATACCCACAATATGAGGCTATTACCATTACAGGTACAAGAGTTTTTAGAAAAGGTGGAAGTGCTGTGACAGATGTTGCTAATGCTCCAAGAAGTAAATTATGGACTAAGAGTGTGGAAGAAGAAATTCAAGCAAGAGTGAAAGCTGCCGAAGAACTCAGAAAAAAGGTTAAAGAAGTAGAGGTGACAGAGAAAAGACTCCGTTCTGAAGCAGATAGGCTATATGAAAGTCTTTCCAAGTTGACTGATAGCATTAAAACTTCCTCAAAAAAAATCGATTCACTGAAAGTAGTTATAAACAAGAAAAAGAAGGATATCGATGAAATAGCAAATGAGGAAGACAACGATCAACAGTTTATTGAAGAGCTTGAGGGTAAAATTAAAATTTGCCAAGACAAGATTGCCTCTAATAGAGAAAGACTTAAAGAGGAAGAGAAGAAAATGGAGGATTTAAAGATTGAATTGAATGAACTCAACCAACAAGCAGCAGAAAGCAGACAAAGTGTTATGGAGGCACAACAAGAAAAAGAAACCCGTGATAGAGAGGTACTTAACATCTTGAAACAAATTGAAGATGAGAATCGTAATAGTCGTACAATGGATAATGAGATTTTCAGTTACAGGCAAGAACTAGAAAAGAAGGAAAGAGAAGTGACCTTAAGCAAGGAGTTGATGGATCGAAGTCATGATACTGCTTCAGATGGTTGTCCATATATAGAAACCAATGCAGATCCTAGAGTACTGGGAAATAGAATTGATGCAATTAAAAAGTTGATAGATAGAGAACAACAAAGACTTGGAAATATCAATGCTTCAGATGTCAAGAAAGATTATCTTGACTATAAACGCACATATGACGAAAAGAAACTACACTTAGAGGTTTGCCGTGATGCCCTTAAAATGGCCAAAGAGGGTGTTAATTCCAGAACTAGAACCATGCTGGCAATTAGATCCTCTGCTATTTCTACTGTATCTCAATTCTTTGGTCGTTACATGAGTCAAAAGGGTCACTCTGGGCAAATAGAAGTTGAGGATGGAGACCTTAAATTTATTATTCATATGGCTACTCATGGTAGTCATGTAACTGTTAAAGATGCCAAGTCTTTGTCTGGTGGAGAAAAATCTTTCACAACTGTGAGCTTTTTACTTTCAATTTGGGAACTTGTTGAAACTCCATTTAGAGCTGTAGACGAATTTGATGTGTTCATGGATAATATGTACAGAAAGACTGCCATGGATTTGATTTTGAAAACAGCTAAAGCCAAACATCCAACAAGACAGCTCATTATCATTACTCCACAAGATGTTTCCATTGTCGATAAGGATCCAGAGTTTGTTAAGATTATCAAACTCAAAGCTCCACAAAGAGATGAAAATCAAAGATCCATGGAAGAGTTTATTCACAACCACCAAATGTAATTTATTAATTTATGAAAATCTATTACACTACAATATTTTTCTGGCCACTTTCTTATTAAACGACTTGAGGGGCGCTGTGCTTATTTTCCAGCCAAAATTTTTGTAATGATGAGCCATACTGTTGTTGTTTAGTGGGATGAAATATTGTGGTGTTTCACTTCTAATTGGAAATAAATAAACTTTAAAAAATGGATAAAAAACAAGCAGCACAACAACCACTCTCGCTCGGAGAAACTTTTCTTAGTAGATTTTTGGAAGGATGTGTTAGAGGAGTATGTGATGTTTTTATAGAAACTGTACCAGCACTTTCTCTAGTTTTGAGATATGTAAAACTCTTTGCACCACAAGTTGTAGGAAAGATCTTTGTTCGTAGAGCTCCAGCAGCCACCACTACTAATTAATTTATTGTTGTTGTTTTGTACATAGGAACCAATTCCAGCCCACAGCTACCATATTAACGAATAAAACTCTATAAATCGGAGGAATTACTAATATCAGCATATATGACCAATGAATTATTTAAGAATTAATAGAGAGGAAATAATACAATATGATTCATAGTATTATATTATTATTATAAGTAATGATTATCATCAATTAATCAAAATCATTTTAGAAAATTATTATTCAAAATCAAAATCAAAATCATCATATTCGGAATAATTACTAACAACAATAACTTACAATAATAATTAATAGCCTGAGCAGCTGGCCACAATCTCAATCCAAAAGCATAGCTATCAGCAAAATCCCTCTCAAACTTACTCCTCAACACCTTTAATGATGATTCACCTCGTACAATCTGTTCCATAATAAAGGGTGGTGTCTTATCATCGGGCATGTAATAATCCATCATTGTATTGATCGTATAGAATGTGGTAATAATGAAGGGATTATATGTGATCGACTCAAAGGCCACTCTCTTGACAATATTCACCAATCGTTGTCGTGGAGTGGCATTTGCCTTGAATGGTAGACAATACTCGACAATTCTGAACCAATTATGTAGGATGGGTCCAAGTGCCAGTAGCCCATATGAAAACATCTTGAAGGAACGAATGAGAGAGAAGTGTTGATGTTCGGGAGGTAAATTTCGAGAGAGCATGTGTTGTGTGATGCCATCGGAGGCAGCTGTGATGAAGCCACAGGTGATTGCCTTTGTTTTGATGGGATGTTCTATTAAGAGTTGGGAATATCGTGTGAAAAGTGAGCTAAACATTTTTTTGATGTGAAATCAATGAAATATTTATGAACTAATTATCTGTGATATTCCTTCTTAATAGTCAATTGGTTCATATTTGAGTTTTTCATCATTGTAAGGGATATGTGATTTTGGAGATGTAGGATGAGGAAATGGTTGGTTTTTCTTTATTTACAGATTTTCTTGTTATTAGGAAAAGATGAACAAGAAGTAGAAACTTACGGAAGAATTAAGACATTACAATATTTCGAAAACTAATTAGAGAATGCTGGTAAAAGTTAATCGTTTCAAACTTTCTGATATTTCAATACAATAATTACAAAAATTGTTTAATACAAATTATTAAATTAATTTTACAGCTCCATAAATTTCAAAACCACCAAAACTCAAATAATTGTTGCTACTACTATTTGGACCATCTTGAAGTATTCTAAAGTACTTGTAATATTCATTACAGTCAGTTATTGGGAAAGTGGCACTTTGGGATTTTGTGGTGAGTGTTGAATCATTGTTATGAACTTTAAGATCAGTAAATGTCAAACCATCAATAGATCCTTGGAATCTCCAAGTACGCAAACATTCAGTATCTCTGGCATTGGTGTGACGAATGGTATATGCTGATGGTAAAATCATATTAGACACAAACTCAAATGTTATGGTGGTATTAGGACTATTGATTAAATTACAAGAAACAGGAACTCTACTGATGACGTCTTCATCACTACCAGCTTCAAAACCAATACTGGTTGTAACCTTTAAGAGTCCTCTACCTATTGGAGAAGAATAAGTTTCAGTATGATATAAAGTTCCAAGCCAATAGAGAACACCTCCTTCATCAAAATCAGAAGTGTGTGTAAATAATCTTGCAGTTCTTGGTCTCAAATATTTTGGAGATTCATCACCACAAATCTTGTAAAGACCCTTCTTTTCCAACTTTCTTATTCTTTCAAGTAGAGATTCACTGAGAACATCATGTGGTATAGATTCTATCAAGATTGGTTCCTTCTTTTCCATGATAATTTGTAATTTATCATACGAGAGGAAGGGTATTCTAATCTTTTGACCGATAACTTGTTTCTTTTCCAAATCCAAACCCTTCTTATTGACAAGGAAAGATAAGACAATTTCCTAAAATAATAATAATGGATTGTAAGTTATTCAACTTAAAAATGGATACTTACAAATACTTGATCTTCATTCTTGACATTCAACTCATCAAGATCAACCAACTCTGAGAAAGTATCTGGATTGAATTGGTTAATAATGGTGGTATCCTTAATATCATTGAAATTAGCGGCAAGAATTCTTGTACAGGCAGATTGATGTTCAACAAGTCCATGTTTTTCACATTCCATCAGATAGAATGCAGCTGAGTCTGGTGTAATGGATTCTGTTGCTGCCATTGCATCAATACACATCTTGAGCATTTCAACATTTTCCAAAACATTATTCTTCTTACAAAATTCATTTACACATTCAGTAATAAGAGCACACTTCTTGGTCTTGGCTCCTGGCCCCTTTCCAATGTTTTCATGAGCAATTATTCCGAAAAATACTTGAGGAGGAAGATCAAGAAAAATTAAATTAAACTCATCAATTAATTGTACAAAATTGAGAGCAATATATCCACATGCCTTCTCTAAAATTCCATCATCATACAATTTCAAAGAATCATCCAAGAATGAAAATACATTCTCGTTGGAAATAAATTGATCCAACAAATTCATCACACTATTTGAAAGATCGGGACAAATCAACTGATCAGCAGCAACATGAAGTGCAACAATTGAAGTCACTGGAATATTAACTTTTCCTGTATACAAATATTCCAAAACCTTTTCAAAAACACTTTCCGTATCCTCAAAATGAACTTCAACAGATCCACTCGAATCTCTAAAAGCACAAGTGAATAAACTTTCAAAGAATTGGGATTGATGAGCTAAAATAATACGATGGCATCTATAACTCCTATTTGTTGGAATGTGATTGATCGAAATATCAGAAAATAAATCGTTTAAAAAGTATTTTGAAAATCCATTCGCAAAAGCATCCTTTGTATTAATATCCACCCGATTATCTTGTTGATATCTCTTTGTTGTATCAATTGGTTTTACTTCTGCCGAAACATCAACAGAATTTGTTGTTGTTGTTGTTGCTGTTGCTGTTATTGTTGCTGATACAAGAGGGTGAGGAGGAGGCATTGTTGGCACTATTGCAGCAGATCCAAACGGTAAAGCTGCTGAAGTAACTGGTGGTGGTGGAAGAAAAGACATCTAACTGTGATGATATTTTTTTTGATGGTGATTTGATCATGAACTCAATTGTAAACATTTGAACACAATTATCAGCATTCTCATACAGTGCAGGTAAAGTTTATTGATTAAAGAAATTACTTCTTTGTACAATAGGAGAAGAGGGTGTTCTTTTGTGTAGGGAAGAGAAGCTTCTTCTTGGTATTGTTAGGAGGTGTTATGGTTGAGGAAGATCGTTTCTTACTGGATGATGATTTGTCTTCTTTTGAATCTGTCTTTTTGGAATGGATTGTATTTGAATTAAGTGAAATATCATCATCGTCATCATCTAACATAATGACAGAATCGTCTAGCTTAGGAGGTGATGAACTTGTGGATTCAGTAACTGTGGTTGTTGAAGTGGTTGGTGAGGGTTTCAAATACTTTTCTATTGAGCTACTACCCCCCAAGGAGAGTGACTTCTTTTTGGGTGTTGTAATGTCCTGCACACTTCTTGTTAAGTGAGATGACTTCTCTTCTTTTTGACCATTTAATGCAAGGTCTGTAATGTCAGCCTTCTTGGTTAATAAATCCCACATGAAATCGTCCAAGGTTTTCTTTGCCAATAAGTACGTGATATCCACAAAAGCTCCTTTTTGTCCAATTCTGTGACAACGATCTTCACATTGATTGAGTAAGGCTGGATTCCAACACAGTTCTGCAAATACAACAGTAGAGCATGGCACAAAGTTAAGACCACAACCTGCTACATTCATAGATAGGATGGCAACGAGACAATTCTCAGTTGATCTGAAGTGATGAGCTAATCCCTCTCTGTCCTTTGTCTCGCCATCTATTCTAATATACTCGTAAGTTTTTACATCATCATCCTCAAATTCCTCAATGTCGTCATGTGTAGAGCCCTTAGTAGTGAAAATATCCTCCTCCAGAATATCATCACTAACACTTGAGTGACTATATTTTGTTAAATATGACAGCTCTTGTTTCACAGTTTCTTCTATTGCATCCATCACACGCCTATGGTGAGCAAATATGAGAAACTTCTCCTTCTTGGGAATAATTTTTCTGAGGTAAGACCTGATTCCATCTATTTTAGCCTCAGCAGTTTTCACATATTTAGCAATAACATCCTTATCTTTCTGGAGTTTACCCCAATCTTTTTGGTAGAACTTTTTCTTAGAATCACCTCCAATGCCATTAATTTGTTTGAGATCTTCTTCCTTTACATGTAAATAGTACTTGGACCTCCTTTTAGGTGGTAACTCTGTTAAAACATCTCTTTTCAATCTTCTTATCATTATTGTATTGGAAAGTAGGCAATATAGCTCAGATAATCTACTAGATCCTTTGTAATCCGAGTCATATTTTGGTTTTTGAGTAAGACCACAATATCTATAGCCAAATTCAAGCTTCTTGATACTGTTCTTTCCAATGATGGCCTTAATTTGAGAAAAAAGCTCAATTGGTCTCGACATGCAACTTGTACCACTTGCAAGGATAGTTCTAGTAGCTTGCTCTAAAAGTGGTACCAATGATTGTGATCTCTTGCTAGATAAACTCTTTAACAAGTGAGACTCATCACAAACCATGACACCTTTCTTTTTCTTTTCAAATTCCTTTTCAACCAATGAAATAATATTGTCCTTCGCTAACAAATCATAGGAAATAATATTGATAAGGGAAAACCCCTTATTGACTTGACTGCTATTGTCAATGACATTAATTTGCATGGAAGTTATAAATTCATCAGAACCATCCACTTTAACAGTTTGCCCTCCCATCCACTTTAAAATTTCCTTTTTCCAATTAGCTTTTAAAGATCCTGGACATACAATCCACAATGGCCAATCATTTGAGAAATGTGTAGCAATGGCAATGCATTGAATGGTTTTACCAAGACCCATTTCATCTGATATCAAAACACGGCCTTCTTTTTTAATTCCAAACTCGACACCAATTTTTTGGAAGGGAAGGAATGAGTTTTGTAATTGTTTTGGAATACGTTTCCAAGGGTCAATATTGCTATTCTTATCTGTCAATTCAGAGTAATTCTTTAACAATCGAATAACAAAATCAGGAAGTTCCACAATATTACATTTGGAGGCAAGTTCATGTTTTTTGATTTTTTTCAAAATAGCTGAATAGTTCTTATATTCAAAATAGAGATCAACTTTCTTTTTTTCGTCCTCAGAGTCTTCATTTTCTGTTTCCTTAAGCTTATTCAAACAATTGAATTCATTCAAAGCTTCAGCAACTTTTGAAGCAATTCGTTTAGAGACTAACACTCTAAGAGCGAGAGAATTTTGCATCATCCTTGAATAATCTTCTGTAATTCCTTCTGAGTTTGGAGCATTATCATCTTCAAATTCTCTCACTGTCAATTCATGGTCACCATTTACCTCTAATGTACAAATTTCAAATTCAATATGGTTGGATGATTTTTTCTTTTCTCCAGAGCCAGATGAGCTACTACCTTCATCACTACTGGATTCTTTTGTCTTCTTCTTCTTGTTTGGATTTACATTCAATAGATGAAGATAATCATTTTCGTTTCCTTTCAACCATTCAAAGAATTGACAAGAGTCTTCCTTCTCAGTACAAGACCAAAACAACTTTCCTTGGTTTGGTCCTTCTTTCTTCACCTTTAACAGAATTGTATCCAATCCATGTTTACATTTCGGAATGGTTTTCCCATCACTCGAAACATCATCTACTCGACTTGATTTTTGTGATGAAGAATTAGTACTTGTTGAGGATGATGTCCCTGCTTGCCTATTATTGGTTGATTTGGAGGTTGTTGTTGTATTTGTTGTTGTTGTTTTGTTGGCTGATGAATTATTAGAGACAACAATTCTCCTAGAAGGTGGTGCAGAAAAATCCACTGTTGCAAAATCATCATCATTATCGCCATCAATACTGTTTGTATTACGAGTATGATTACTTGTATTATTCCTATTAATTGTTGTTGATTTTCCATTGTTATTATTATTATTACTTGCAGATGAAACTCTTCCGATTGATGATGAAGGTTGTTGCTGTTGCTGACTTTCTGCAGAACCCCACTTGAAAAACTGACAACTTCTCGAAGCACATGAATGAAAAGAACGTCCCTTGTTTGGTCCTTCTTTCCGAACAATCAAACTTGCAGCCTCCTCTCCACAATCACATTGAACCATTTTTTTTCCAGTGTTTATTCGAAGTCATTTTGGCGGTGATAAAAATTAGGATGTGGTTAGGAAGGAATTGAACATTCGACCACTGGGCTACTCAGTACCAAAGTTGTTATATTACAGTACATTCAGTGGTTATTTGGCATTTACAGTTTTTTTGTAAAAGAATGATGATTCTAAAGAAGGAATGCAAATCCTATTCAGAAACAACCTATTATAATCACACATTTTGAAGAGTTCTTAATGTGAAAATCAAAGTGACATTTATTTTGATTCGAACAATAAAAAAAAATGATGAAAGAGCAACAGCCCGTGGAGGCTTTTTCATCCAAAAATTCATCTTCGGGCGTTTGCAGAATTTTCTCGCTTGTAGTTGGCGATCCTATGAAAGAAGGTTAGTTATTGTTTTAATTTTTGATGATTCGAATATAATGTTAAAATTATTCGAATGTCAAAGGAAAGGGATTAGGTGCCAAGACTACCTATTTAATACAGACAGAAGTTGTCAAATCGGGGTTTCCAGAGACTAGAATTGTGTACAACTCGAGAAAACGTTATAGTGATTTTAAATTATTACACGATGAATGTAGAAAGTTGACCAGTTCAGATTTTAAAACAATCTTTCCACCAAAGAGTTTCAAAAGTAAGTAAGAGAGTTGATAATATTTAAATATGGACCATATTTCATAAATTTAAAGAATTTAATGAGAAATTAATTGCTGAACGTAAAGAGGCCTTTCAACATTTACTTTTGGAATTTGTTGATAATCCAGTATTGTTGAATAATCAGAATTTAAAGTTATTTCTTTCAATACCAGCTCAGACTCACCTTGTTCCACCATCAAAACATAAGGATATTCCATCGAGTGTCAAGTTTAAATTCTCCAGTGTATTGAAAAATGAGGAAATGAAATATACCTTTAAACAATTTCTTATCGAGGAACATAATATTGAACCATTCGAATTTTTGGAGTCGTGTTTTCAAATTCAGAAACAAGGATCAATTCTTATTGAGGAATTTGATAGATTGGTAATACAGGAATTTGTTGAACATGGATCGAGTAGAGAAATTAATATTGATAATAGAACGAGAAGTAAACTGTTGAAGGATTGGGAAGATTTAAAGAATACATTGTCTACACAAACAGATTTGGTCATGTGGAATGGTCAACTTGAGTCAGTTCTTCAACCAGCTACCAATGCAGTGAAACTTCACTTGAAAACTGATTCATTTCCAAGATTTGTTTATAATTGGCCAACTTTTAAACAATTTTTGAGTTCAAAGAGTGATGCTTTTATTGCATCTATTACAAAAGGCTCACCTGATTCACAACAAGCTTTGATTTTTGTTTAATATTGACACTAGTCAATCTGTACATATTTATTAAGATTATTCTAGAACTTATTTAACCGATTAACATGATTCTTTACCATGCCAGCTTTTGCAAGTTCTGCGGCCTCTGCCACATCTTCTCTCAACACAAGAGGAACTGTAAACTCTCCTGGACCGAGAATAGTACCAATGAAATGTTGAGAAATAATGTTTGGACAATCAAAGACAGTATTCTTAGTGAGATAACACGAGTTTGTACATCTAATTTCCTCCAATTTGGAGTGGACAAGTTTAGGACTCTTCAATTTGTAGCATTTGATAGCAAAGAATTGTTTCAATTCTGGACATTCTGAAAATATTTCTTCGAGCGCCTCATCATTAATCAAAGTCTTACTCACATCCAAATATATGATACTTTTACATTGAGAAATATAAATCTTTTTAAGGCAAATATTTCCGTCCAAATCAATCTTTTCCAATCTTCTTAATTTGTGGAAACTTGCTGTTTGAATTCCTGCATTGAATTGTGAGCCAATAATTTTAATGGAAGGGATGTCTTTAAATGATGGAGAGACCAAGCCCATACAAGTTCTCAATCTCAACTCTTCCAAATTGAGTGCTGTTCCAGAACAAATATTCTCAATACATGAATCTCTAATATTGGTAGCTGAGAGATCTAAATATTTCAAACAATTCAAATTGACATCTTTGAACGGAGACTGAATGTTAAGACAGCCAACCAACACTAGTTTTTCCAAAGAAGGACAGTTCTTTACAATATTATCCAACAATTCATCAGTGACCACCTTATTATTAGACAAGTTCAAATATCTCAAATTCTTCAATTCTTCAAACCCAGAGTTCTTGATAAAGAAGCTTCCCCATGAAACTGACAAACTTCTCAAATTTCCACAATTTGAAACAGTCAAACCGTGTGCTCGTTTACAATTAATAAAAGTCAACTCTCTCAATTGTTTCGATTCAGGAATTACCAATTCGAATGTTTTCGATGACAATCCCAAAGCAAAATGTGACAATGTAAAACTCTTCAGTGATGAAGGCAACTCATCCAATAATGTTTGAACAACATTCATCGAGAACCACATAGTCGTCTCATCCTTAGCCCTCGAAACTTCAATAGGTGATTCTAAAGTAAAGTTTTGAATTTCTGGGAATCTCTTAATAAAACCTCTAAACTTTTTAAAATCTTGTAACCAAGCCTTACTTTTGGTTTTTGTAATCATGAGTGTCTTGACGCTCTTTTCAAAACCTCTATTCCAATCGTGATTAATTAACGAAATTGATATTCTGTCCTTCAATCTCATGCATGACAAGATGTGTTCAATGCAATCAATGGATAAACTGGTGCCATTATTATTATTAGAATGATGATCATGTTCCGATCGATCCTCGTGATGATCAACTGTATTACTCTGACTCAGCATGTTGGTGATAGAATTTGGCTTGTCGCAGTTGAGGTATTTTTTTTAAAGTGTTTTTCAATTGAAAATCAATACTTTGTAAAGAATCTTCAAGTTACCTCACAAACTGCTTCAATGAAATTGGAACCATTTACAGTTTAGTATTGAAATTTGAATGTTGAAAGATTGGTCTTTCATTTGACCAATAATTTTGACCATCAAGTTCCTTGTTCATTGACTGAGATAGCTTTAGCCAAAAAGTTGGCGCCAAAATTTACTAAAAAAACAACAAACGTTATCTACAGCCTTTCTTTTGAAAAATTCAACGACACTAAGCAAATCAATTATCGAAAGATGATTTGTGTTTAATTGAATACACACTCATCGAGTAACGTTTACACAAATTGTATTCGAACCCGAATGGTCCAGATTCACCTTGTCTAAACGAGTGATTACAATCGAAGTGTTGTTGCTTTGAAAAGGAAATAATATCTAATTAATATCATCTATGAATTGATACTGCATCAGAAATGTCATCGGTTTTCCATCATGACATTCAGGTTATTCTCAAACATTTTAAAAAAAGATGGCAACTGCAAGCATCAACAGTTTGTTAAAGAGCTATGATAACAACATAACAATCATGTTGTTTGGCATCATGATAATAGTAATGGAGATGAGCTTTGTTTCGGTTACAGCTTTGACTGTATCAATTCAAAACTGCCCACTCCACACTAGGATGCTTACTGTACTACCCGCAACAACAGATGGTATCTCTTCTTTCAATTACACTCAAGATGTCATTTCGAATCCAGACTTTTATTGGTGTGAATCAATGCCAAACATGTTCTATAAGGATTACAATAGAATACAAGGTATGAGATATTTCCGTTCAATTGAATGCTCATGTGTTTAGGCGTTATTATGTCATTTAACAAATATACTGGACTATTGGAATTTAACAATGACAAGCTGTTTTGCAATTATACTAATGGCAATTCTGTATTTTATGAGCAGGCAATCAATAGTTTTAAATTATTTAGCAATGAAACTTTGGTGAGGAAATATTTGACAACCTATTTGGATGGATTATTGGTGGAGAAGAATTACACAAACCCAATGAGATATTACTACACAGGATTTGATGTTGAAATTTCAATGGAAGATGTCAAGATAACACTTGATATGTGGATTAATTATTTCAATTACTTTTTGTTTTGCAAAGAGAATAATCCACATTTTTATGAGTTTAGGAGTGTTTCTCTTCCTTTCATGGCTCAATTCTCAAAATATGAACGAGTACAAACCTTGGACGTTTTATTTGGAATGAATATTGTTCAATTTTGTGGAAAGACAGAATTGACATTTTACAACAGAACTCTTCTTTGCCTTTGTAGTGATTATAGTACTTCCAGCAATGATTCGATTACATTTCGTTCAATGATGGGCGATAAATGTGCTGGATCAATGGAATTATTCTGGGTTCCAGCAGCAAACCATTTGTCCTTGAAAGTCATTGAAATAGTTTTCTATTTTATTCAATCTATCACCTTACCAATCTTGTGCTTGTTTCCAATAATTTTTCGATCAGGAATCAAATGGAAAGATCACATGAAATCACGAGGAACCTTAAACACGATTGAAAAGGGGATGAAAACTCCACGACAACAAGAACCATCTGAGAAGGAAAAGAATACTATTTCCAATAATGAGCAAAATACAAATCCCAACCAAGTCAAAATAGATGTAGTAATAGATAATACCCAGTCTCAACTGTGCACCAGTAATAGAAGTAATAAGAAAGAATCAAATCGTAACTCAATGAAAGAACAATTGAGCCATGAATTGGTGAGAGTTATTTGTGATTTGAAATTGTTGGCAGGTATCAGTTTAGAATTCTCAATTCTTTGCTTACTTGGCTCAGCAATCCAACACACAGCCGAATCAAAAGGAGGTGCTGTTTATCCCACACCAACTCTTATTGTTGCCTCAGTAGCATTCTTGTGTGTTGCAAATATCCCACTGGCTGGATTGTTTGTTGAAGTTTTGCTCAAACTTTCTGGAAATAATAAGAAAGTTTCTATTCATGGATTGTAAGTGTTATTGGGAGTTATTGCATTAACTTTATTGAAGAATAATTGCTTCTGCTGTGTCCATAATTTTAATAATCTTCATCCTGGCCTGTGTAATAGCTGCTTTCTTTAATAGAGTAACTGGGGGCATCATTAGAGTGTTAATTATTGGGTTCTCCCTTTTGTTTTTTGCAATTTCTTGGGCCATTATATTGAGCTATTCCATCAAGATTTATATCATGTTGAAAAAGAAGAAAAATGTTTTCTTTCTTCAATTCAAATTCTCCCAATATCTCTTAGTTATTTCATTTGCAATGATTTATTTGATTTACGAAGCAGTGACTGAGATTGGATTTATTACATTTTCTGTGGATTGGGAATCAATGTGGTCTGTTTGTTGGAAGCATAGAATTGGATCTTACGTTATTGGAATTGTTATTTGGATGGCTACCTATGTTCTTTTCAGTTTGGATCATTTCAAAGATTTCTACAAGAAGCTAGGAAGGGTTTTGGGAATACCAAAGAAGTGACCTTAGAATTGTTTTTAACAAGGAAGATAGATAAAGAAGATCTCATGATGATCATGAACAATGGAGAATCCAAATCTCACAACAATAAACAACTACAGTTGTCTATGTTATAATGAAAATAAAGTTGTAAAATAAGTTGAGAAAAAAACCATGGTTTATTCTTGGAGCGATGAAAGCAAGCTATAAATTGAAGGTAATTTCACTTGATTGTTGTTGACAATTCGCCCCTCATCACAATGACGAGGTTGGTTAGTAGAAATGGCAGTAGGATAGTAAAATTGAGAATTGTTTGGGATAAATGTTGGTTGAGTGAAAGGTGTTTGCGAATATATAACTGTTGGTGAAGGAATTGGAGAAAATTGGGTAGGAACTGAACTTGGTGATGTTACAGGAGAGGATTGAACAGATTTCACATTAATTTCAACAAGTGGTTGACTTGGTTGGCTGACAGTTGAGGTTTGGTAGTTAGTAGAGGAAAGAATTGGATTAGTTGACTTGGTCTTTCTCTTCTTTTGAGAAGGTTGATTATCTTGAGGTGTGGAAAGAGTATGTTTCTTTTCTGAGGAAGTAATTGTAAATCTTGGTGAGAAAGTTTCTCTATGATTTGGGTTATAGTTCATAATCTTGATAAACTTGAGTTTTTTAGATTGTGTCTTTTTCAAAGTTTCTGTCAGTAAGGCTTCTTCGACAGGTGACTTGCATGTACTTGATGGAATAACATTATAAACGAGTGGAGATGAATTACCTCCCAATTGAGCACTCAACTCACTTGGAGACGAAACTCCAGATTCACTATGACTCAATGATGATTCATTATTTGAAGGTTGAGGTGAACTATTAGCATTGAAATTAATTTCTTCTTCATATTGTTCTTGAGGTGAGTCTTGTTTTTCAGAATCTTTCCATTTTCTTGGTCGTCCTCTCTTCTTAGTCGATGGTTCACAGCACAGATGAGCAATGCCTCTCGAAATACATCTCGAACATGCAGGTTTGGCTCTATCACATGATTTATGGGCCATTCGACAAGCTAAACAAGCACGAGAATTGGCGGGAGTTGGTGAGTAGGCAGCAGATGAGGAATCATTGGCGGCAGTGGTATTGAATGTATGAATGGAAAAGGAGGAGAATAAATTGGCGGAATCTAATAGGGTCATTCTGTAGTTGTATGTTGAGGTAAATTTGAATTTCAAAACTCGCAATGAGTAGTGTTTGAAATAGAGGGGGATTTTGAGTTGTTTTTTTCACAATAAGATTTCGTTGCAGATGATGAAACAGTTGCTTCATGCACCTCAACAAAAACAATTATAAAAGTCAAATACAGACAGAAGCTTAAGATTCTTCTTCACGTACCTCAAACAATAAATTTCACGACATGAATTTACTTTTTCTTTTCCATTCAGTTTTGGAGGGAAAAGTTGATTTGGGAAAATTGAAGAAATGTTGCGACATGGAAAAGGAAAGCATGAACATGGAAATGGTAAGCGGTTTCAAATTAGATACCGGCGTGAAATTCTTTTTGGACTGATGCACAATTTTATTAACCAATTGTCAGAATTGATAGCGGGAATGCTTTGTTAGAGAAATGATTCATCAGGCAAGTGCTCAATACTCTTCATTGTTTGTGTGAAGATGAGGTTTAAGGGATTTTGCTTTGTACCCGGGTATGCTCAAATTATCATCAACAAATGAATATTTAGAGGTAGTGGGTACCAACATGAATATCTGGTTGTATAAAAACTTTCTTGCTAAATAGGGTGTTGCTAATGACAATATTCGAAAGTTATTGAAGATGGCGTGTAATTATAAATTATTTAGGTAAGTTGTGAATGCGACAAGAAATGCAAGTTGATACTTTAGAAAATTTGTGAACGAAGGAATTATTGGCAGTAATGAGCAGTAAGACGGTTTCCAGAAATGCTTGTCTTGTATTCGAAAATGGTAGTGAAAGAACAGTCTTTGAGTTTCTCAAGTTACTTGTAACATTTATCAATTACAGTTTTATTTTTCAGAAATTTGGCATATTAAGGAAAATTGCAAACATTTTGATGAACTTGTTACTGTAGATGTGAATTCAATTTGATTGGCCGAATCAATTTTAATTTACAAAAAAAATGCAAAAGATATTCTCCTATTATCAATTTCGTCGATTGATTCGGAATGGACAGTTTGAGCATTGTATCATCAGGATATGAATTTTATTGAGAATTTTATTATTTATTTTGTAATGATTAAAGGCTTTATTCAGGCCAATTTCTTTACAAAATTAAAGGTAACCCACAGCTAGCAATTTCTAGCTGGTTTGTTTGCTTGTGTGGTTTACGTTCACTAGATTCAACATTTACCCATCAGTTGAGGAAAAAATTTATTTCCCACTTTCCAGCTTGCTTCCAACCCACAAAAATAAAACAAGAATTTTTACAAACAACAAGCTAAATTTTTATTTGTCATACATTAGTGTTGGTTGAAAGCCAACTCTAACCCATAGGTTAAAGTACTGTAATTCTAACACCAATTCATATTCTCCAAAACCTACATGAAACCATCCTAAAGAGGTGGTTTTTGTATGTTAGTACTACTATGTTTTGGATTTTGATGTTGTGGACTAATTTTCGAGTTATTTCCCCAAGTTTCAAAGGCCAAATTTCATTCGCACCTGTCATCGCACTGGTTGACGGATTCTTGAATCTTCTTCACACAGATTCTCATGCACCAACAACATTGAAAAAACACCAGCGTAAAAACCGAGCTGTGGGCAGTTTTAATTTTGTAAAGATTTAGTCATTCTGCCTGCAGTATGTAACAGAATTTGAAGAATTTTGTAAGCTAAATCATTAGCCATGTCCAGTATTGGAGTCCTCTCAAACAAGGACGTTTCAAACTACAGAAATTAGTAATTTCAGGAACAGCCGACAACTTGGAAAGATACAACCAAACTTGAAATATTTGAATCAATCAATTCCAGACAAATGATCAATTCACAACAACTCACTGAGGACCAATTCATTGCGGATCCTAAAGAGATTTGAGTAAGGTTGACTTTGGAGACTCAGCTACAGTACATAAAGATGAGATTCCTATGTTTTTGGGCATGTAAGTTTTTAATGGTGTGAAATTGTTTTTTTACATTAATTATAATTTAGGTGGTGTTACAAGCTCAATTGCAGCACTTGCTATTGAGTCAGACATTTGCATTACTCATGCTCCCGAGCCCGAAATATGTTCATTTCTGACATTAGAGAGCCAATAATATCCCTTAATAAAAGTTTTCAATAGAGTCATTAACAAGTCTCTTGACTTTCTTCTTGTATCCTTCCTTGTCTTCTCTCCATTGTTTAGCAGCATCCAAATTGGCAGGTGATTCATCATTTGGAACAGACAACATGGAAATAACTGAAATTAAAATAGATTCAACAGAGTGAATTGGCAACCAACGTTCACTGGCCTTTTCGTATCCGTACGTCTTCACCTGGTGGATGGAGAATAGAAATACAAACTTTACCATCTGAATAAATGTTTGGATGCCAAATTGGAGTAGTGAATTGCAACTTTGGTGGACTGTTTGGATAGTCTTCTGGGAAGGTCATAATAGCACGGAACTATAAAGAAACATTTAAATAAATATACAAAGATCTTGAAGCTTACCATTCCTCCTTCATAGAGTGTTTCAGGTGGTCCGACTGATGTTGTTATTGTATTATTATTATGTAAAATAATAAAATCATCAATCGCAACAATTAATAATATTAAATAAATTCAAATAACAATGATGAAAAAATTCTAATAATTCTACTCCAAACAACACCTACCAATTAAAATATCCCATTCATACATATTTGAGTCCTCTTTCAAACCAGCACTGAAACCTTCGACTGGATTCTTTTGCAATTCTTTCAATTCCTTTGCGAGACGGAGAGCAGATTGTCCTGACATTTTTTTTAAAGCTTTTTTGATCACAAAATGTCTCGACACAGTGCTATTAACTCTCTCCATTGTTGAACCTCTTACAACAAAATTAAATTGACAAGTGCATAATTTTCTCTTCCACTCACCTCCAACAACAATCCATCTCTCCAATATTAAAGAAATTCATCTCTAAATTGAAAAGCATCTCGAATCCGAAGGCAATTCTTGCTTGCATAACAATTCATCATCAAAAATACAAGAAAATTTTTTTATTTGAAGTTCAAAAAAAAAATGACCAAAGGAGCAAACGCCACAACCACCAAACCAGTTCATCCAAAATCCCGAAAGGCTATCGATATGAAGAAGCAGGGTATTCACGACTTTAAAAAGAAGGAACAAAAACAAATCAGAGATACTAAAGTTGTGCCAACATTCAAGAGATATCTTTATATTCACGAACAAATTTTCGGTGCAGATATTAGAGTAAAGAAAACTTGTTGTACTGAGGAGGAAATGATTGAATTGATTGATAAATATTTGGAACATTCCGATAAAGAATTTGATAAAAAACATCCAAAACTTACACCAAACTTGAGATTGCAAAAGGAATCACTGCGAGCATTATATACATCAGGAATTGGGCTTCAAATGCCTGATTTGTGCAATCCAGAAGTATTTAGCAAATTCAGAGTGTGGAATAAGGAAAAGGAAACTGTCATTGGTCTTCCATCAAAGGTATACAAGAAGAAATCGGAAAATGAAAT